ACACATCCTTGTCGTTGGACCTCAGAAATTGGGCGCCCATGTCAACATACTCGAACTATCGGAGCATTTGGTCCGGGTGGTACACGGAGAGTTGTGCCTCACCCAAGCGATCAAGGTAGCCAATAACATCAGACCATGTGATTAATCGCGCCATGCTCGTAGCGACGCTCTTAGTGTCAAGGGCACACTGGTTAACCCCACCCTCTGGACAGGCATACCAACACAAAATGGAACGGCATGGCGCACCACCTGGGTGTACGACCTCCACACGTAACCATCTATAGAGGCCATCATCATGCTAATCTCATTCATCTTGAAACTTTTATGCCTCTTAGCCTAAAGCCAATGCTTCCCCCTACAAATCTCGAACACATTTTCTTCTGCCTCGTCACCGTCGAGGGTAGCAACATGAACACGGAGAGGGTGTAGACTTTAGGCATCTCATTGAGCTCGAACCGCTCATAGATAAACATCCAAAGGAAGGGAGCAAAAACACAACTCGTCTCTTGCAATTGGGGTCATTAAGCTATTTCACAGTGTCGTCCAATTGCTCGTACAAATAACCGAGAAACATGGACGCCAACGGAAGCTGATGTCCACTGGCAGCAAGGACAACAAGAGGAATCAGAATGGTGCGGAGACCATAGTCTGGTATCCCTGAGAATAGAAAATGGGACACCACATAGAGAATATAGTTGGCAAGGTGACATTGGGAGCCAGCACCTCGCACCATGACATCCTTGCCGCCATGGGACTCAAACCAGTATGCCATCCACTGATCCAATGACATTTTACCCTAAGAAGTGGATTGGTCCACCAACGCTTTATAAGGAGGAACTTCCCCAAGAAGGTCCTTACAGAACCCCCTGAACACTGCAGGGATAGACTCAATATGTTGCAAATGCTGCGCAGACACAACACCCCCAACCGGCAGTGCCAACAAGGTTGCCACATCCTCCACTATGATGGTAAACTCCCCAAATGCACCCACAAAGGTGTGGGTGCAACAACACCAACGACTCAGAAGGTGGTCGACATACTTGACACCTTCCTGGCCCACATGATTCGTGTAACAATCCACAAACCTAAGAAGCCTGGCATCTTGTAGCATTTGGCAATACATAGGATTCTCAAGAATGTATCATGCCCAGGCGGTATAATTGTTGGGAGATTTCGAACTATTGGTTCGAGGCTCCTGGCACTTATAGGACATAGACACATCGGAATGATCACAAAGGCACATTAACTCCGTTCCGGCGATGACATCAAACGAGCCACCCTTGCCCCGGGACACAGGCATGGGAGGCCAGAAACCCCTGCCACCATCGATTTACAAAGTCACCTCCCTTTCTACTACTAATGCAATAGGTCAGCGAAAAAGGAGTTTGGATTTCCCTGACGAGCGGCCATGGGGGAAAATGAAATAAACACAGGAGAAAAATGAGAGACAAGAAAGAGAAAAGAATAGACAAACGCTTCGCGGAGCAATTTAGGGCATAATGGACTTGACGAAGACAATAGTAGGAGGTAAAGCGGAACCCTATGCAGTTCCCCTCCCTTGTTTATAGTAACTCTCTTTCCTCCACGCATGCGGAATGCCAAACGGCGCCGGAGAAGATGAGGGGACGCTTGTACAACGCCCGAAATGATGCTTAGTGAAAAAGCAACCATAGAAATTTACCCAAACACCCTTAGAAAAGCAGGACCAAAGGGACGCATTAATTCAAAAGAGGCGTCACATCAACAACCGCCATAATACATGTATTGGATATCGAAACAACAAACACGCGCGATCAATTCGCATTTATTATAGAATGACCATCAAGAGTAGCTACCAATGGCTGCCACGTGGTCACCCCTAAAAGGCTTTCTCAATTTCCACTAACTACAGAATCTTAATAAGATGCCAAACCACCCACCACCGACAAGAAACAAACATCGAAAAACCAACCCAATCATCACACGGAGAGCTGACGACGAAACTAATACGTCCAAGACAGCAAGGGAGGCTAAAGCTCACAAATGGAATATGTCAACTCCATAGTGCTTTTTGCCAATGACCCCTCCACCCATATTAGGGGGGGGGGGGGGGGGCAAAAAAAAAAAAAACCCCCCCATTGGTAGAGACATCGCTCAATTTGCAATAAAGGTCACCACGCCCTTGGTATCACACGGTTGTGACCGAATTCAATAGGCTTCAAGGCTATTTGCGATTAGCTCTTAAGATACAAAATAACATAAACAACAGTAAATTAATTACATAGGAAAATGGTAGCAAAAATAAAATATAGCATTTCATTCAGTATTAATTAAAAAACTAGTACAAAATAACACATGTACAAATCTCATAAAGCAGCCCACTCCTCCCTCATTGACACTATATTCTCCAACAGAGGCCTTCGAGCCTCAAACGCCTTCAGTTCTCCCACCTCTGCCTCATATTCTGCTACCAACTCGCGCTGATGAGCGCATTCTGCCATGAGGGCCTCTAACTTCTCGGTAGCCTTAGTGAGCTTCGCCTCGGCTACCTCGATATGAAAACACACGTCCCTCAAAGACTGGCCAAAAACAAACCGGCGACTCTCCAAGACCAGCCTTCTAGAACACGTGCGCCAGCAAGACAACACGCTCTTCAATATGCCCCACGCGAAAACCAATAGCAGAAAAACAGTCACAGGTCTTCAACCATTGTGCAAGGACGAACCATGACAGCTGATCGAAAGAGAGATTCATAATATTGTACATCATCGTCGCAAGTGTATTTAAAGCTAGACCTACGACAATGGATGGGAACCTAAAGGGAGGTAACCAGCCACCTTGAATAATTGCCACCACAAATTTCGCCACAGATTTCGTCACCAAAAACTTGTCGTTTGAACGGACGCCCTGGACGAGAACGCAGTCCACAGCCTCGTACCCCAAAGGAGCTACGTTGTTCTCGTCACAATACTTCAAGAGCAATTCACGGACTAACGCAAACTCTGAATTGTTTGATAGTCTCTTAAGTGATGATTCTTCCGGAGATGATGTTGTGGAACCAACGGCCTCGTTGACATTCATCATGCGGGGGACATCAGGAACCCCAACCTCCTCATGTGCCCTTTGTTGATCGAGAGCCATTGTCGAAAGCAAGAATAGAGGAAAAATCGCCAAACGTATACAAAAATGCAGCAAGTGCAGTAAACAGACAAGAGTAAGTGGGCAAGGCGGAAACCAATGATGCATACTACACCTCTTAAAACACAACTCATCCTACATGCCGAAGGATTACAACCAAGTAGTGAGGAAGCCAAACAGGCGTGCCTAGATGAAATGTTGTGCAAAAGCAATTGGAAATAATTCAGAAACACACCTTACGAAAAGCGAGATACAACGGTGCATTAATTTCAGATATAATGCCGCATTCGTTACCACCATCTAGACACTAAACATCTAAATGACGCACATGACATTCATTACATTACAACAAATGAGAAAAATAATAATCATGGCCGTTACATGGTCACCACCAATAGCCTATTTTGATACCCATTAATAACAAATGATGACAACAAGCAAATCACCCGTCATCAACCAACACCATGCAATAAACACAAACACTTATACTGCTAAGAAGCAACACCTACCAAGATAATTCACATTCTTTTGCCAATTTCCTTCATGTCAATGGTCAGGGGGGCTGAAACGCACAAATACAGCGTAACATTGACCATCGACAAGAGGCAAATTGCCAAAAGACAGGGGGCTAAACTGTAGAATACAAGAAACCACCATTGTGAATGCAAAGCTACATAATAGGAAAATCCCCAGACCCAACATTGCATAACCCGCGATACGAAAGAACAAAGTACTTACTGATAAGCTCCCACTTACCGATAAGTAGGGGGCTAATGTAGGTACATAGTGCTCGTTCAGACCCTCAGAAAACATCAAACATCAAGATTAGCATCACAAAATTACGTGCGAACAACCCATAGTTAATCCCCATGTTGCGATGGACCCGCAACACACTATCAACCCTGTGATGAACTCACAATGCGTATCACAAAATCGCGAAAAACCCGCGGTCCATCGAAACTACTTGGCACCCAAACCAAAGAAAACCTTGATCGAACTTGTCCAAGGGCCTCAAGCCTACTCGAGCGTGCAATAAACCCACACCCACCAAGGTTTGTGATAAACCAATGACTTATAAACCCACTTGTAACCCAGATCAAGAGAAACCTAGGCCGAACCCACGGTGAAGCCCACGTGCGCCTGAAGGCACATGAAACCTACAATAGTAAAAGATGTGACGAAGCGCCACATGGAGTCCGCAAAGCAGCACCCACCAAGCGATGACATCATTACCGCCACATCAATTAAGTTAAATTGCGTAAAAGATAGTAGCATACGTGAGTAATGAGGAATCTTGAGGAGAAGGAAAGCTAATCCTCGGGAAGATCCTCATGAGACACGTGGCAAAACCCTAGTAGCGCACTTAATAATTGACAGTGAATCTAATATTGCCTTTCTTGATATGTTGCAAATACTCCTATTTCCTACTTTTTAGGATCTCGGGATGTCCCCCATAGAGGTCCTTCTCGTATTGGAATTCATTCAATCCTTGACATTTGTCACCTAGCACCCCCGAGTACTCCCTCTCCAATTTCCCCATTTTCACATCTTTAATCCAAAAACTCATTCCCTACTCACAAAGCTCTCTCTGTCTTTCAAACCATTCCCTAACCACGCCTTTATGTATATATATATCCTTTACTTGTAAAAAAAAAAAGGAATATACGTATGGTAATGTTCATTTCTTACCAAAACAAGTCATTTATGGATATTATCAGGAAGTCCGTGCAGATCCAATATAGTGTCTTTTTCGCCCCTATGCCCTTAAATCATGAAGCGAAAAAAACAAAAAAAATCTTCGGCAGTGAGAAATCTGATTTTCTCACTAGTAATCGTTGCCAAAAAAAGAAAATATCAGTATCTGATACTGAGAACCAACTTCTCTGTTTTTGGGCAACAGAGTACCTACAGATTGAGACCAACACGGATGCCCTCGATTTCTTTCCAGAACTTGAGAAACAAATCCGACGGAACCAAATTTATGTTGCAAAGTTCATCCCGTGAAGCCGGTTCTTTGTTGTTCGACCCCGACTCCATTTTCAACTGCTCGAGAGTCGAGACCGTAAACAAACTACTGTTCATCCCATGGGGGTTATTCTAGGCCTGTAAACAAACCATTGTTCATGCTTGATTTTCCTCACTTCGGATTGAACGAAGGAAAGAAAGATAATAAAAGGTTGAGAGAAACACACTAGTCTTGAAATTTGCTTTTTAAGAACACTTACGCCAGGTAAGGTACAAAATCCCATAGTCTCTTCGATTTCTTCTTTTCTCCCTGTTATTTTTTCTTCCATTTTCTTTTTCTTTTGAATCGATGGTCTAAAATATGTGAATGTTGTTTTAGAAAAAGCCCAAGATGCTCTGCCAAAAAATACAAAATCGTCACAAATTATGAACTAAATCCTCCATCGATTTCTGATCTGTGTTAGTATTGTTGCTCGTGAAATTTTGGTTTGTGTGGTCAGATTTTTGTTTCATATGAAATCCAGTGAACCCAACTTGTGCAATTCTTCTTTCGTCCCTTGATGTGGAATTCTTTCCTGAAAATTCAATATGGTCGGATGAGGAAAGTCTCTTGGAGCTGGAGCGTCGAAGAAGGCAACATCGAGAAGCAGCAAGGCCGATCTACAGTTTCCGGTTGGTAGGATCACTAGGTTTCCAAAAGCCGGAAAGTACGTAGAGAGAGTCGCCAGTGCTCCCGTGTATCTCGCTGCCCAGTTGAGGTTCGTTTTTCCCTACATGATTCCCTCCCTCTGGTTTTCACTGTAATTTTGTTTGAAGGATTGAATAAATATATTAATTATTGGCGCAAATCTTATTAAAAACAGGTTTGGAATTGGTTAGAAATGTAGCAATAGACAAGGATCATGCCGAGGCATATTCAGTTGGCGGTGAGAAAAGATGAAGAACTTAGCAAACTTGTTGGGTGCTATTACGATCGCAAACGATGAAGAACCTAGCAAGTTCCTCGTCCGGTGTTCTGTCCTCTCTTCAAATTCTCAGTATCTTGCTTTCTCCATTTACATTTTAGTATATTCATTGGTATCCATGGCGATTTGGATTTGGTGGAAGATATTTTCCCACAGTTTAAAAATAAAGGAATTCTGGCAGATAAGGGCAACTTTTTGCCCTGAATATCAATAAAAAGTAATATTTTTATAAAATAACTAAAATAAAATAATTTTTCTGAAAAATATCAAGAAAAGGCAGTGGCAGTGTGGCACTGTTCATCGTCTTCCTCTGCCTTTGTATTCATACCAGCCATTTCAATGGGTCAACGGGTTCCGACAGTCCATCCCGTGTATCGGAGGCTCGAGAAGACGGAAATACGGTGGACTCTATGCGAGACTAATTCTTCCAGAAGAATCAGAGCAGCTCCTTGGAAGGGCTGGCAAAAGAATCGTCGGTGAAGTCAGGTTCGCCAGTGGAGTTTTGTTGTCTGAATTTTCGACGACACCAGAGGACGACAGCAGTAGTCTGGTTCAATCTCGGGCGTCAGTTGATTCAGAAACTGGTCGATGATGACCCAGAAGATTTGATTTAAAGTGGAACTCGCAGACCATAGCAGAACAAACACGCAGCATTCTCCCCCCGTGTTTGACCAGCCCGCGTTGGCTTCTTTCCCTCCAAATCCAGCACCAACTTGTCAAGCCGTCGTCTCCGGACGCCAGACTGGTGTTGCTTGCTGATGAGGGCAGATTTGGCCTTCCAGTGAAATTGTGACACGTGGTACCTCGTGACAACTTGGCAAACACCCAGGCAACAACTTGACAAGTTGGTGTCCCCCTCGGGCACCGGTCTGGCTGGCCTGGCGCGACCTGCACGCGGCCT